TTTTTAATTTTCCGAAAAAACTCAATTTTTCGATTATCCGAAAAAACTCGACTTTTTGATTTTCCGAAAAAATGCGACTTTTTAATTTTCGGAAAAAACTCGATATTTTGATTTTCCGTAAAAAAAACTCGATTTTTTTCGATTTTTAGAAAAAAACTTGATTTTTAAGAAAAACTCGATTTTTTGATTTTTCATAAAACTCATTTTTTAGAGAAAAAAAACTCGATTTTCAATTTTTTGATAAATCTCAATTTTTCCGATTTTCTGAAGAAAAAAAACTCGATTTTTCGAGAAAATTCGATTTTTCGAATTTCCAAAAAACCTTTATTCATCGATTTTCTGAAAAAACTCAATTTTCTGAAAAAGCTCGATTTTTCGATTTTCCCAAAAAAGTCATTTTTTCGATTTTCCCAAAAAGTTGAATTTTCGATTTTCCAAAAAAACTCGTTTTTTCGATTTTTTGAAAAAACTTGATTTTTCGATTTTACGAAAAAACACGATTTTTCGATTTTTTTCTGTCAGAAAAACTCGATTTTTTTATTTTTCGAAAAAACTAATTTTTTTCGAACAAACTCGATTTTTCGATTTTCCAGCAAAACTCAATTTTTCGAGAAAAAAAAAACTCGATTTCTTGAAGAAAAAAACTCAATTTTTTTGATTTTCTGAAAAAACTCGACTTTTAGAAAAAAAACTCGAATTTTCAATTTTTTGAAAAAACTCAATCTTCCAAAAAAAAACTCGATTTTTTAATTTTTTAAAAAAACTCGATTTTTTGAAATTCTGAATAACATAGTTTTCTTTATTTAAAAAAAATGTTTTTATTAATTTTAGAAAAATAAATTTATTAGATTTAAATAATAATATAAAAATAATTTATTGGATCATTAAAATGTGGTGGATGAATTGAATCCATCCATATATATATAAATGGATGAATTTAATTCAATCTATAAACTTATTTTTTATTTAGTGGATAAATTAGATGGATGAATCTTTTAATGAATGGATTAGATGGATTTAATTTTCACCTTAACGTGAATAGCTCTAATTATATGAATCTATATGGATACAACAAGGATAAGAACAATACAGAACTTGTTATAGAGTATTTCGTATAATTGAAACCTGAGCTGCAATAGATGGCTATCACCAGCACCTTTATCCACTTTAGCATTAGCTATGAGAGGATCTTTAAGAACAAATTCTAATAGCTCACGGGCCTTTTCATACTCTTTTGCTTGTAACTTGACAACTCCATCATGATAAGTTTGAGAAAGATGAGATTCCTGAAAGATCTTATCACATTGAAATTCCTTTCACAATTTATATATATATATATATATATATTTGAAAATTGATCTGATTTGTATTTCAATTGTATGAATGATCTTATATTTATACTAGAAAAACTCCAATTTTATATTCAAGTAACTAATACTTGAGAAAAACTAATAGAATAATGAGCTTCATATATTTCTCTTGGACTATTATGTTTACATTGAAATAACTAAATATTTGTTATAGGGAACCAATGTATTGTAGGTTCATGAAAAAAAGTGTTTGAGATACCTTTCTTATAAGCAGGGGTGGCAAAACAGATTGTATGTCTGGTATATATGTTCGTCAAAAAAGAGTAGAACAGATAAGTCCGTCAAATAAAAATGAGCATAAAAATCTAATCCGTTCCGTCAAGGTGGCGGGTTGGCGGATTTGCCCGTCTAATTATTTATTTATTTATTTTTATTTTTTAATAGATTAATAGGATTTTTTTAAATTTCTATTAGATTTTTCACTTACTTTTTAAAATTTTTTTATAAAGCATCTTTTTTATTACTTAAAAAGGTATTGTATATATTCACGAACAAATGAATAAATTAAAACCATCAAGAATTGAAATTATTAGAATCAACTAAAAAATGACGGACTTAAGGCGAGACTGGCTGAACGAATAGGTGGGGTGGACTTTGGCGGGCGGCAAATTTTGGTGGGATAGACTTTGGCGGGTGGAAGGCTTTGGCGGACGACGGATTTTGGCGGGGCAGCGGGTCCAAAATCCCAACCTAACCCGTCATTTTTTGATGAGTGCGCGAGCCGATTTGGTGGACCACAATCCTTTTTGCCATCCGTACTTATAAGTGGTTATGCTATAGATACATGTCCTGCTTTAATAGTTCTGGTCTCTTGTGGGTTGACAGCTAGTTTGTTAGTATTAAAATTGATGCAGAATCTTTGTTGCAATAGTTAGGTAATAGTTTAGGTGGAGTTTTCTTTTTTACTTGGTCATTTAGAGAATTTTTTGGCAATTAGAAGGGGGATATTTTTTAGTGTTTCGTCTAGTCGTCGCTGCAGATTCTTTCACATTACACATTCTTGGATAAATTTTGGAATAGTCTTGCATTGTCAATTTTATTGCAGGTCTGCAGTGGTTGGATTTTGATTGGGCTGCAGTTGTTTCTATGTTTGGTTGTTTTCCTTTAGCAGGGGTGTGGGTGTTGTTCCTTCTGGTTTTTCTATGTGTGCATGCTAGTTTGTCACCGTTCACGCTCCAAAGGAATATGAAGAGTATATTTGACATGCTGCTGTTGTGCCAAATGATTTCTTAAAGTTAGTAGTTTTAGATTTTTCTAGTTTCAGACTCTTGTTACATTTTTAAGCATGTAGAGAAAGCAAATGACTTGTATTTCTCAATGTAAAGATAACTGAGCTTTAGTAGAAAACAAGTGACTTCTATTTTTTCATGTATCATTTTTCTTCATTTTCAATCATATTGTAGACAATAGAGTGTAAATAGCTCACTTTTGTTCTCATCTAAATGTTATCAATGTGTAAATGGCTCACTTCTTAAAACTTGTCCTTTTAACATGACAAATTAATTACAAGTCTCAATGTCTAAAGTTGATATTTTATTTAAGAGTAGGTTTCTAAACAGCTCCGATACATCTTAAAAAAGAATTTAAAATAAAGAAGTTAATATTAGCATCAGTTAAAGTAGATCTTATCATACATGTCTAAGATGATTAACGTTGCTAAAATCCAACGCTACATAATTATCTATAACAAAGTAGCGTCATCAAAGACCAACGTTTAATAAATACATAAAACAAGTAGTGTCACCAATGATCGCAACTACACACACATGTAACAAGTTAGTGTTGCCTAAAATCGACACTAAATAAACGCGTACAACAATTTAGCGCGCCTTTGACCGACACTAGATAAACACGTATAAAAAACTAACATCACCAACAATTGATAATAACATAAAATTTAGCTTCTCAACCCATGAACTAGCTTCCTTCTATAGTTTATTGATGCGTCCACTCCGACATCAATGTTAGACCGACACTAACACCACATAACGTCAATTTTTTACCTTTATTGAGGATTTTTTCAGACGCTAAATCATTGTTTTCTAATAGTGTACCAACTGAATCCAAAAAAGCAGTCCAAAATAATCTCTATCAAACTACTCTTAGAAGATAGCTCAAAAACCCCTTAAAAACAATTTTTATAATCCAAATTCTCAACAAATAGATTTGCTAAGTTAAGAGCATCATCTACATATTTAATTTAATGCACATACCATTACTTATTTATAAAAGAAAATAGTATATTTTAAATAATAATAATAATAATAATAATAATAATAATAATAATAATAATAATAATAATAATAATAATAATAATAATAATAATAATAATAATAATAATAATAATAATAATAATAATAATAATAATAATAATAATAATAATAATAATAATAATAATAATAATAATAATAATAATAATAATAATAATAATAATAGAGAAAATATGATATTCTTATATATCATATTATATTTTTGTGTTGCTTTTTTTGTTTTTTATTTTAAGTTTTTTATTACTTTAAACGATTATATTTACAATTTTATTTCTTACTCTTTACTTTTTTTTTTTGTTACTCTTCACTTAATTGCATACATAGTATATAAATTTTAATTTGAGTCTAAACAATTTGATCTAATCCTTATTAATAAAATAAAATATTTAATCTTATCTTAATTTAAACTAAATCTTATCTAATTTTTAAATTAATCATATAAAATTAAATTTTATCTAGTCATTAAATATATCTTAACTAATCAAATCAAGGCTTATTTAATTTAAATTTAAAATATAGTAAATTAAATAAAAATAAAAATATTAAATAAGAATTTCAAGTGCATTGTCCGTCAGCACAATAGTAGCATATAAATAAAATAAGTTTTTTTAGTGTACAATATAACTAACTATCTTTTAAAATTTTTTTTATCAAAAAGCAATATGTATTAAAGGAAGATTGATACATAAAAAGGTGGAGGATAAAAAATTGTTTGGATTATATTTTTTTACATAAATTGCTATATATTCTTGATAAGATAATTGTCTTTTTAATGACACTCTAATAGGTAATTATTCTTTTTCAATTTACTTTTAAAAAAAATTATTAAAAAATATTTGACCAAACCAAATAATTACATTTTCAATTTTTTTAATAAATGGAAAATTTAATTTCTATTATAAAAAAAGAATGTTAAGATTAAAATAAAAAAAATAAAGTCAAAATAAAATATATGAAAGTATTTTTTTAATATAATAAGATATATTTTTTCTCAAAAATTATGGCAATTCTTCCATGATATATGAAACATATATTATCCAACTTTTCATTTATTTATATAATAACAAATAAATAAAAATCAGAGTTACACTCACCTGGCCTTATTTATAACACCGACCAAATGGGGTGCTTCTGATTCATATATAGAAAATAATGACATAATATCTCATTGTGAGTTTTCAATCTTATCAAGATTTGGTAGACAATTGAAATAAAATATATTTTCTAATTGGTAGTAGTAGTTTATATATCTTCTCCATATTTTAATTCTCTAAAAAATATTAGTTTTAATATTTTTTATACATAGTTGTTCAAACTCAATTTATATAAGGTTGAAACTAATTTTTTAAGAAATTAGATTATGGCTTCAACTTCAACAACAACTTCAATGGAATGTGAAAACAATGAGGAAATAAATCAGAAACAATCAATAAAAAATTCTTGTGAGTATGCTACTTCTCCATTAAGCTCTAAAGTTCAAGAAAGTGTAAAGAGTGTTGAAAAAGATGTTAGTGAAGAAAGTATTTGTTCGAGTGGCTTCACTACACCAAAGGGTGAAAGATTTAGAATACCAAAAATAGCTTTGGACGATTGTCCACCGGCTCCAAAGAAAATCAAATCAATTATGGTTGATTCTTCACCATCTAAAGAAGAAGTTTTTGCTTCATCGACAATAGATTTATTCTTAGCTGAGCCCTAAAAGGTTTCAAGTGGATGTAAGTTTAATTCCAAAAGTTTATGAGTTTGATTAAATTAGGTTTGTTAAGAGGTGACGGTTTTCTTAAAATTGATCTTTTCATTATAGTTATGATTATTTTTTTTAGTATGCAGTTGACAATCTATATTATTATATGTGTTTATATGGGATGACAGTCTATATTGTTTGATAGTTTATCGAGTATTTATGTTTATTTAATTATATATTAGTTCACGTATACAAATATGCATTTGATGGTAATATATATGTGTCTGTTTAATAATGGACAAAATTAGTTAAATATTATTTTTGTTGAATTTAAAATTATTGTTATTATTATTATTTTATAATTAATATTATTATTTTATTGAATATAAAACTAATATAATAATTATTGATTTATTTTTGTTATTGTTATTATTTTATGTTAAATTTAAGATTATTTTTATATGTTTTTAAAAAGAGGATAATAAAATTTTAGTTAATTATAATTGGCAAAATATTTATTTTGGTTTCTTAACTATAGGTCATGATTCAGTTTGGTCTCTTACCTTTTTTTCGTGTTAAAATAGTCTCTTAATTTTTAAAACGCAACAATGTTAGTTCTTTCGTTAGTTGGGCTCAAACGTCTGTTAACTTGTCCTACGTGGTAGATACGCTGGCATGTCAATTGCTTCACCTTCTTTACATGCTATCGGATACGTTTTCATCTTCTCCGTCTTCTTTTATATGCTTCATCTTCTCCATCTGCTACAGGATATGTTTTCATCTCCTTCTCCATAATGTTCAAGTCGTTTCGTCAATTACCCATGAATACGAAGTATTCTTCTTCGCAAGCGAACATGAAGAAATCTGAAAATATTGATTGATGTGTTTACAGTAGCTTGCGAAGTGCACCACTATGTCTTTATGGAGATAAAGATGTCATGCGTAGGACAACCAAAGAATTTTGGAAAGAAATTTTGGTTGTCACAATTACAAGGTAAGCCCTAATTCCTAATTTTTGTTTGGGTATGTTAAAAAACGGAAAGAGATTGATCCAATTTTGAAATTTACAGGGATTCTTGCAAAGAGTATGTGGTTTCTTGGATTGGTTTTATGAATAATCTGCAGAAGATATAAACCAAGTATTGATTAATAGGTTGGAAAGCATAGAAAAGGAATTAGATGGAACCAAGAATCAGTACGAAATTGAGGGCTAAAAATAAAGAATTAGGGGATGATGTGTCAGAACTTCAAATTCAACTGAACTATATGTTGAAGTGGAAAAAATCATTGAAGATTATGTGTTTTGTGATATTATGTGTATGTTTGATTAAGCTGTTTTAGGAGTATGTATTATGTGTAATATTCAACCTTATGACTTATTTTGGATTATGACTTCTTTAGGAGTATGTATCATTTTGTAAGACAGTTTATCAGTTTAATATGACTTTTTTTATTTGACATATTATTGTTTGTAGCAACATAATTTTGGTCATTATCAGAAAATGAGCATTTCAGATTAATATGAACTGATAATATGAACTTGAACATATCAGATTAAATGAACATTATCACAAAATGATATTACATAGATATGTTTCTAAAATACATAGACATGTTACATAGACATGTTCCAAAATACCATAAACTACATAAAGCCTAAAATTATAACTAGATGGTCCTCTTTGATGTGCTTCTCTTGGTTGGAGTAGATCGCCTGGTGGTAGGACCAGTTGCATTCTTGGCTGTTGAGAGTCTTATTGTTGGTCCTGTGGGTATAAAGGGTCTTCCCACACCTAGTTTTTATAGCTTTCCAATTCCTCTAGCTTTCTCCTTTGTGCCTTGTCCTGGTACTGCCTTTCCTTGTGAAGACTGAGTTGCATTCATATATCTCTGTGTAGCTGATGCTTGTGTTGCTGTAACCTGACTTGTAGTGGTTTGAGATGTAGAAACTTGTCTTGTCCCAATCTGACTTGCATTGGTCCCAACCTGACTTGCATTGCCTTGCCTTGCATTGCCTTGCTTTGAGTTGCAGCGCCTTGAGTTGTAGTGCCTTTAGTTGAATTTTCTTGAGTTGAAGTGCCTTGAGTTGCAGTGCCTTGAGTTGCATTTCCTTGAGCTGCAGTGCCTTGAGTTGCAGTGCCTTGAGTTGCAGTGCCTTGTGTTGCAGTGACCTTGTAAGTTTTTTTGTTATGTCCAGTTTTCTTGCACCTAGAGCACTTTACAATAAAACCAGTTCTTCTCAATTTTCTGTTAGTGCCATAAACCTCCCCTTGCTCGAGGTTTCTCCTTTTCTTTGGTCTACCAGATATCTTCCTAAACTTAGGTGGTTGCACATCTGGATATGGAGTTTTGGCCCACAAATTGGATCTACTCACAGGATAAAGCACAAACCTATATATTGTCTTGTACCTAGATACCCTATAATAATCTGGAATGTAATCATCAACTTTAAAATTCCTACTCTTCATGGCTAACATGGCATGGACACATGGAAGTCCTGTGAGTTCCTACCTTCTGCAGGAGCACAAGTAATCCTTCAAGTTCACAGTGAATGTTTCAGTTGGTTTTCCATATGCCTTACTTCAAACATATGCTCATCTGACATTTTGCAATTAACATTAACAATAACAATTAACATTCTGCATTTAACATCAACAATACCAATTAACATTCTGCAATTAACATTAAAAATAACAGACCATACCTGACAATCTATAAGTTTGTGAAGGCACTTGTTATGTCTATCTTCTTTCTAATGTTGGGCAAAATATCATTACCAGATACCTCTTGAGACCTCATTCTATTTTTTGCCCATCTCTCCATCATAAAAGTTCTGATCTCCTCAAGCATTGTTACTAGTGGTTTAGCTTTAGCTTTAATAATAACATTGTTAAAGGCCTCTGACATATTGTTGAGCATAACATCGCACTTGTTGATATTTCATTACTGTCATACACAGTCAGGTCTGCAATTTCATTTCCACCCCAACATTCGTGTCATTCAATCCAGCATTACTTTATTCCATAACAACATTTGCATCATTCAATCCATCATTAACTTCATCCATACCAACAACAGACTCCTTTAACTTTCTTTCAATGTCATCATGCAGCTTGCTAAGCAACTCCTCCATCTCATCTACAATATTCTCAGGCTCCTCAACAGGACCATCACAATACTCAGGTTGAGAGAAACTGTATTGAATGTAAACATGAACACTATGGTGCACCCTGTATAGGTATGCAATTTCTAGAGCACCTTTGTTATCAACTAGTTCATTCATCCCAAATTGTGGGTCTTTGTAATACATTTTATCTATATTTTCCGTATAACCTAAGTCTTTCAATACACCAACTAACTCGACGTAACTCCACCTATCAACATTTACTAATAATTCAGATACCAGGCCTCCTTCATAGACACTAAGCTTTGGGTCAACAAATTCACCACTGTGGTGAATTACGAGTTTCAGAAATTCATCTAAACCTAAATCCCATAGTAAATATTCAGTTACGAAGACACATAAAACAAGAATAAGATACCTAAATCCCCAAATCCCAAGACAAAAATTGAATGGAATACCTAAATTCCTAAATACCAATCACCAACAAGTATGAGAATAGTTACCTGGAACGCAATCACATTCGCAATCACCTTCTCAAGCACCTTCGCAAGCCTCTTCAAACTCGCCTCTACATATTCTCGTTCTTCATCTTTCCTTTGGTTTTCGTTTTGGACAAAATGAACATGCAGATCCTTTCGTGTGCTTTTGGAGATTGCTTGTCCTTATTCTTTGTCAGATTGCCTCCAACAAGCCACTTCAGCATGACAAATGCCACCTAGAGCCTGTTTTTTATATTTAACTAACATTTCATTAATGGAAGGACTAACGTGGTTACGTTTTGAAACTTAAGAGATTAATTTGACATGAAAAACAGATAAGGGACCAAAGTGAACCATGACCTATAGTAAGGGATCAAAATGAGTATTTTGTCATTATAATTTTTATAAAAAAAAATCTATAACTATATATAAAGAGGATATATTATTTTGGACTGGCCTACTTTCATTCCATATTTACCTTTTAACTATTATTCTTCCCAAATTATCCTTTAACTACTTTTTATTTACTACGACAATGTTTAACCTGTCAAAAGAGAAGAAACTGATGTCAACCGTTTTTTTTTTTGAACAATTTTCTTACTAGAGGGACCGTTTCCTCACTGCATGATGAATTTGAATTTTCCTTAAGGTAGTTTTACCAGCACTTCAAAACAGTACAAATATGAAATAACTTCTTCTTTTTGCCTCTGGTAATTAATTTCTCTCAAACATTTTTTAAATTCATATTTACTTATTAATTGATTTTACTCTATCAATATCATTACTTTATATTTTTCTTTTGTTAGAAGTAATAATTGAATACCATAACCCATAGAAAGTTGGGATGTCTTTCAGAAATGACCTCCAGGATTTCCTCATTTCCATATAAGGTTTTTTAAAACATGACGACTAAAAAATGAGAAGGATGGAGAAGAGAATTTGACAAGATGAAGTAACAGGGAATGATGAGTGAGAACAAACTGAAGAGATATAAATAGGATAAAGGAAACTTTACTGACGGGAGAAATGATTTAGAACAGAGGACTATCATACTCGAGACACACAAAACAATTAATGTATGATCCAGAAAAATAGGAGAATAATGACAAACATAACAAGGAATTAGATAGAGTGGGCTAAAGATTCTTATTTTCAACAAAAAAATTTATCCAACAATTACTTAAAACTTACTTTGAAAAAGGTATATACTCTAACAAAGGATAATGCGTGAGAATTTTTATCTAATCACAAGAATATCTCGTCTCTCAATGTGTCACATCAAGTACTAGGTATGCTTCAGAAAATACATATGTCTTATTTTGAATTTCCAATCTTTCACTTTCCTGACACTTCAATTAATGAAGTAAACTCTTCAGTTTCCAACGGACAAAGACATTCTCAAGAGAATATTATGACTGTTGTACTCCAAAATTTGCCCTCTCATTTTTCTTCAAGACATTCTCATGAGGTCCCCATTTGCTCAAAACTACTCAAGAAGTTGACTGGTCATAGTTCTTCTCCTAAGCAATAAGTCCACAACTAGGGGTTTGGTGTTTCTCAATGATGTTTGGGTTTCAAGGGTATCAAGTAGTTTCCATGGTTCTTCATATGTCTTAAAGGATGTTCATTTCAAGTTTCAAGTCTTACATCTCAAGATTGCTCAATCAATGGTTCAGAAGATTGAAAGTCAACTGTATTGGATAAAAAGTTAACAGTCACACAAAAGTCAAACTTTGACTTTTTTGTCAACATTGAAATTCAAAAATCAAGAATCATCAAAACATTCAAAATTATCAAGCTTGATCATCAAGAATCAACAAAGTCAATACAATCAAGAAAAGGTCAACAAAAGTCAAAGTTGGAAAATTTTCCAACACTTAGAAATTTTTTAAGTGTTTTACTCTTAACAAAGTCACTACTTCGTGGCCATTTTTCACTAAGATGCAAGATAATTCAAGTAAAACTTTCAAAATGAAAGTTGTATGGATTGATTAATTCTACAACTTTGTCCTTGAGGGTTGATATCCAAAAAATGCTTGTATTGAGAGATGTGAATCCATGAAGTTGTGATGTTTTTGTCTAACACTTAGAAAAAAATTCAACAGGTTTTGGTCAGTTTTTTATATCAACTTCTTGGTCAATTTTCATCCATCTCCTTATTGATTTAGCCAAAGTGATCAACATGAAAGTTA